TTGTATGATCGCCCGTGGACTGGGAGAAAGAGCTGTCTAGGCTGCAGCAATCCTTCAGGTCCAAAGGCCTGTGCTCCTCCTTCTACCTTGCTCTGGACAGCAAAGGTACAGATAGTCCCTGAAGAAGAATCCTGGGCAGTAACTGGGCATTTCCTGTGCATGATATTATTAGAACAAAGAGGAAAGTGCTTCCTCCAGGAAAACTGTGTCTGCTGCAACTTACACTTTAAACACTTCACCTAAATATCAAATGATGAAATCTTCCAGGGAACACAGAAAGTATTTTGCCTGTTTTGACTATGCCAACCATGCTGGCTAGAGTGTCCTGGAGTCAGATCACTTTCCTGTAAACATATGGAGGTCCATTAAATTAACAATCACATAGGAAAACCATCCCTCTCTGAGGCTTGGCCATTTTGTTCTCTGCTGGGTACATGCTCCTCACCCAAGAACCCTGGTCCACAACTGTCTTGTGCTGAAGACCACTTCAGAGCCCAGCAGAAGCCCTTCTGTCCTCTGACAGCACAGGCACCAGCATCCTGCTCCTCTGGCTACAAAACTCTGCACTCAGGGCTGCAGGTCAATTCTCCATCTCCACCTGCATGTTCAAAACATGCCCCCACTCAGTCCAGTTATCTCACAACCTGACATTTTTCAAAAGCCTTTAATTTTTTTTTAATTTTTTTTTTTTAGCGTTCAACAAACTTAGTTAAAAAATAGCTCAGTTAGGCTGAACTGCAGAAGACATTTCCCCCACACCCATGGGCCAGCCTGTGGTTGCCAGAGCTGGCTCTGGGCCCAAATTAGTTACCCACCCTGGGTTCAGAGATCAGGCACACTGGCAGTCAACACTGTTACTGTTTTTACATTGAACAGACCACAACATAAATCAATGGCTGCTTAAAGAAAACAAAAATATAATTCTATTAACAAATTATCTTTAATCCATACCGGACAAAGTTGACACCTGTCCTCTGTAAAAGAGGCTGCAAAATTCAATTACTGTTTGTGAAGTGCTTGGATGTCACAGCAATAAGTACCCCAGAGAAGCTTGTGAGAAAATTAATAGTTTGGTCTTGGTGAGCAGGGACATAGCAGGATTAACACAGTTAGCTAGTGAGCATCTCCCATCCATGCACTCCTTCTGGAAGACACAGCCTGTGACCATGAAGACCACACTGTAACACAGATAGACAAGAGGCCTGAAGTAAAAACTAAGGCAATTTTGGTCATGGCATTTCCTGACTTCTAAGAAATCAGGAAGTTTACACAGAAGCATTTAAACTTGGCCATGGAGCTTCCCCCCAGTACCAAAATGTTTCCTGCAGCCCAAAATCAGCCTCAGGCCCTCTCATTCTGAAGGATCTCAAAACCACATGACAAAGCCAGTTCTTAATGAAGCTGATGGTCCCTTCCCAGAGATGAGTTGTGCTGACCAGTGACTGCTGCAGCCACTATGACCAGCTCTAAGTTTCCCCAGGCTGGAAAGGCAGGACGTGGCAGAACCAAGAGCAAGAGCTGCTTTCTCCTCAGAGGCTCAGGAGCAGCAGGTACCACGTTACCAAATTCCCTTGTGACCAGGTGACAGCAAAAGAGAGCTAGAATGCCTGGACAGCCTTTCAAATATGGGGCACACCCTTCTGCCATGCAGCATGCTCCTGCATCATTCCTAGTCCTAGTCTCCATCCATTTATTCTCTGCTCTTAATTTCTATTTTGATTTCACAGCTTTACTTGGTGAGCAGTGGATTTTTATCATGCTCCTCAACAGCATACTCACCACAAACATCACTTCCCCCAAAGTTTCAAAACACTCCCCACCCCTCCTCACAAACAACCAAGAGGCAGAGAACTTCCCAGATAAGGTGGCTGGGGGAACTATGACATGTTTAAATGACTAAGCAGCCTCTTTCCCCAGCCCTCTTCTCAGAAACAGATGAACAACACTTCCCAAAAGTACTTGGTGAAGAGCTGCAGCCTGGTTTGGTACAGGGATGAGATTGCACCAGACTGCAGGCAGAGTAGTAGTGGGAAGTGCCAGCCAGCTGGCCAAGGGTTTATCAGCTCCTTCCAAAGGGCTTGGCACTAAGGACAGAGCCTCTGCTACCAGCTGGAACTTCCCAAAGTGGTCACACTTGGTCAGTTGACCTCTAAGCCCCAGCAAACCTCACGAGATGAAGCACACTCACTGTCACTGCCTCTGGCCAGCAGACTGTAGTGGTGCAGGAGCTCAGAGTGGCTACAATAGCTCCCAATGAAATTGAGAAACTGAACTCCAGGTCACTTTCCCCAAGCTCCAGGCAAGGATCAGAGGGTTTATAGCATGGTGGAAGTAATACAATAAAAACAGGTGGTCTTTCCAGCCAGGTGAGCCATTTTGCTCTGGCAGGAGCTCTCCAGCCATGGTGTGCCAGGCACAGAGCACATGTGCTGGTGAGCTAACAGGGCTGTGCAGGGCCCCAGCACACGTGAGTGCTGCAGCCCCAGCACACTGCTGTGTGGGTGGGTAACCCACCCACCACACTCCATCACCCTGGAAGAGGGGCAAGTGCAGCCTGCTACCCTGGGCTGTGTTAAACCAGGCTATATGCTGCTTTCCAAGCCAGGGAAAACCTTTCTGCCCCTGAGCTGCTGGCAAGGGAACTGCTCTGGGGCTGTACCATGTTAGGCTCTGCTCTGCAGCGGGGATTGCTCTCACCAGCTACCTGGTGGACTTTTCATCAGGAGCTTACCAGCCTCCAGGCTCACAAGGTACCTTAGGCAAGCTGCTCCTCAGCAGACACAACAGAGTAGATCATCCCCTTCACTGTGCTCACAGGCAGTCCAAAAATACCAGAAATAACAAACCACTGGAATCCCAAAGCCTTTGCCAGCTGGCAGTAATGGCTCAAGAAGTCCATTCCTCTCTGGAAACACAGTGGCAGTTCTCCTGCATTTGAGTTCATTAAATGCTGCCCACCCATCACCTCTCAGCACTCACAGTTTGTTTGTTGATCACCATACCCTTATAGGCTGTAGTCCAGAGGGGCTGAACAACAAATTTCAACAGGAATTAAAATTGATTGTCCTGGAACATTCATTCAACCACACTGAAGTACAGACAAGGCTTTTCTGTCCCACTCTCCCAGCAAGCTCCTCTTGCCAGATGGAAGCACAGAATTGGTGTTACAGGAAAAAGTCCTCCAATACACACTGGCCTTTGAGCTTTTATTTAAGTGTGCAGTTTTCCAAGCCTATGCTTGTTATGAGGTGCCACAGCATCGTGAAAGATGGCTGAACACACTCCCATGTGTTTGTTTCTGGCTAGGAATATTTTACCAGCTCTTAAGCTAAAACATCTGAGACCTGCACTCACAATTGGGCTGCATAAGCCCTAGCAAGATCACTGCCCCTGGGCTTGCCTGCACTGTGCTCTCAAAGCCAAGGTACAGTCCTTCCTAAATGTTTTAAAGCAGTGTTTTGCAACCTCTGAAACAACCGTCTGAGAGATACCAGCCAAAGCACCAATTTATAGGCCTGAGCAGCTAGGAGAGAACCAGCAAGACCCCAACAGCATTAACCTCTGAGGTAATGCTCATACAAATTACTGTGCTAGATACATGGTTTGGGTTACCAGTGTAGGCTAAAGCCTCCTCCTGTCTGGGATGTCAAGTCCATGACAATCAGTTTTAAGTTAAACAGTCATTAAAACTTAGTATCTACTTTGCAAACTGAAGCTTGAATGCTTCCCCAGTTGGTGGACTCTCTTCCACTCCAAGGTTCACTAGGAGGAGATAGGAGTATGAGAAATAGAGCTGGGGATTCTGGAAAGGAGGAGGGGACAAATATTGTTTCCAGAGGGAGGTGGGAAAAGAAGCAACCTCTGAAATTGATGGGAAACAGAAATGTGGAAAGCAACTTGGAATTCCAGTTGTGACTCAGTTTTGACCTAACTGAAGGGGCTAAGGGCAGGAGAGAATGGACAAGAGCAGTCACCACAAATTGAAAATAACCCTGCCTCCACACCCACTCTGGTGGCAGGCAGCGACAAATCCCCAACAGCTGGCAGGTAACAGGAGCCTCTTGCTAAGAATCAGCTCCCAGAGCTCCCACTGCTGATGGCTGCAGGAATGTGGGACTCCCAAAATTGTTAAAGAAAGTGTTAAAGGAACCCCCAAGCCAAGCCAGCAGCACACTGACACAGGAGAGCTCATCCAACTACAGACATATTAAACCATCTTCTAAAACAAATCCTTAAGCCTTTTGTATTGTACCTCACCAGTTTACTTATTCCTCTTTTGGGGATGTCCACTTGAACCCTGAGGTCAGACAATGGCCTGGTCCATGCTGCCTTTGTTCCCAAAACAAAAAAACCCAACCCACCAGCCAGAGCCTGCATTGTATGTTGCAGCTCTGGGAGGCTGATGGACTGATCCCCTGTGGTCAGTACAGAGAGGAACACAAGGACCAGGGCAGCCCTGTCCTGTTTTCTCCTTCAACTGGGAGGAGCACAGAGCAGCAGGAATGGGCAAAGCCTAAAGGAGCACACATCAATATTAGTCATAGGAAGACAGGTCTTTTACAAATAGTATCAGCAGTCACCACATCTCACTTTTCAGAACAGAACATGACAAGGAAGGCACATGCAAGAGAGCTGCACTAATCTAACCTGAGATAAGATTAAAACCAGGAGCAAAAAAAAAGAATATTCAGTCAGTCATGTTGTGACACCTGCATTTTGATGCTCAGGCATTAAAGCACAGCCAAAAAAGCATAATGCTTGCCACTGGCAGGTGGCATGTGGACAGTCACAGGTAGGAGCTGCCCCAAACACCACTACTGTGTGTTTGCACCTACATCACTTAGTCTGACAAGGGACTTGATCTCTCCAAATAGACTCTTCTTTGTGAGTACAAAGGTACTGCAAGGAGGAGACACCAAGAACTACAAGAACAGTAGGGCAATCAGTCATTTTCTCTCAAATGATATGGAAATAAAAATGAAGCAGGAAGAAAATGGTACCTCTGTCAAGGGTCTTGGTCTTCTTTCTACAACAAATTCTGTGTGGCAGAGCTCACAGTAACTTGTGTTGGAGGAGGATAACCATTTTTCCAGGCAGCTCTTGTGCACGGTGCCCAGTGTTCCTGTGCAGTCACATGGGGAAAGCAGTCCCTCCCCATTTCCACCTTCATGACAGATTCGACAGATGGGACCATCACTAAAGAGGCAGAACGAGAGACAAACAGAATGAAATCACAGTCAGAGCAGGCAGAACAACACTGCCACAGGGTCTGGTCCCACCAAGCCCCAGAAAGGCACATGAACAGCAGGCAGTGTGTGGCACAGCATGCCAGGAGCCTGCTGCTGAAAGAAATCAGCCTCAGGGGACGATGGAGATGCTCAGGACATTTTAGATAATTTAAAATCTGGAAGACCCATAACAACAAGAGAAGATGGCACATCAGCCTGGCCAGCTCAGCTGGCTCCAGAAGTGACTGCAGCACATGTCCTGCAGTCTTCAGCTCTGCCCACAGTGGGCAGGGGCTGATGCTAGACCCAACACCAAGCCTGAAGCACTCATGCAAATCCAGACAAAGCAAAGCCAAATGGCCCACAGTAGTCACAGCACACCCTAGCCACCTGCAGCTACTCAAGAGGTTGGCAATCAGGTCACATTTACCAGATCACCTACCCATCTCAGCCCACCTCAGCCCTGCAGCCTGGGCTGAGCAGCAACTGCACAAGGAACAGCAGTATCTCAAGAGACAACTGAACTGAGCCTGGAAGCTCACCTCCCCAAGAATACAACATATTTCACAGCAAGCATGCACCCAGAGCAAGGTCTCCAGCATATGAACTCTCTGCCCATCACTGCACAGTAACTCACCAGCATCCTGTGGGCACACCCTCCCCAGAACAACAACTGCTCTGCAGCATTAAGCCTCTTGGTGGCTGCAGAAATGCTTTGGTGCTTCAACAGCACCTCCTTGGCCACAAGTTCCAACTACAGAATCACACAGAACCTCACAGAGCCAGAGACATCTACCAAAGCAACTAACAAACATTTTCAGAGACACTTGCAACCTTCCCTGCAGGAGGCCTGAGCTGCTCATCACACTCAAACCATCCATCTGTTCCCAAAATATTCCTCACACCTTCAGCTGGCACCACTGACTGAACAATTAGTGCTACACCTTTTACTAGACCAACTTGCTCAAAGCCCCAGCCAGCCTGGCCTGGAACACTTACAGAGATGGGGCATCCCAGCTGGCATCCCAAGGCACAGGTGTCCTAGCAGCCCTGTGCCACATATGCCAGCCCCATGATGAGGATGTTCTGGGCTCCCTGGGAAGCCCCAGATGGCTCTAGATAGCAAAGTTTGCTGTTCTCAGCAGTTCAGTTAATCTCTTATCACTGAGATCGTTTAGGAACAAAATGCTGGACAGCAGAGGCCCAGACAGGACTGCCTTCAGTGGAGTATGGAAACCAGACCCTCACTAGTATCTCATTTCCCACCTTCCAAACTGCCAGTTCTTTCACACAGTTTTCCTCTTACATCCACAGCTGCCCAGATCTGGGGATACGAGAGAGGGTGAAAAAGGAACATCTTTGTTTCAAAGACCCTATTGTAGGTCCTATTGAAATCCAGGTAAGCAGTATCAGATACCACCTTTTTCTAGATACTGCTGACAGAACAAAAAAACCACACTGAACCCATATCACAGTTCACACTCCACTGCTATTCTGACTTCCAAAAAACCCCACCTGACTGCAGAAGTTTGTGGGATTGCAACACAACAGCCAAAGCAATCTTCAAAACCAGCAGCACCACCTCCATTAGTCTGCATAGAAAGCAAGAGTGAGGCATGGAAGCACAGTTCAAGGAAAAGGAGCACACTGGGGAAAAAGGTTGGTGGGACATGAGGGAAGAAAAAGAGCCAGCAAGGAAGTACATGTCAGCTCTCTAAAGGAGAAGCAAGATTCCTCTCTTTGTGTGCCACAGGAGATCTCTACCACTTTCAATTCAGTATTTAGCTGGTTTCATCCCAATTGGACTTTTATTCATATTTAGGGCTGCAAAGCAAATTACACCAAATGTACACCATCTCCTTCTCTCTGCCAAACATCACTGGTGAACCCTGACCCATATTCTCTCCTCCTTTTTACATGCCTTTTGTTGAGGAGACTTCTTCAGCCAAGACAATCCCTGCAAAAGGTGCAACAGGAGTCTGGGAAGGTGGTGGAAACTTCATCCTCAAAGATCCTGGAAACTGCATCAGACAAGACTCTGAGTAGGCTTGCTCTAAAAGGAAGCTGGACCAGACATCCTATGGAATTCCCTTCCAATTTGAATTATTTGATGATTGTGTAACATTTATTGTCATAAAATTCTGCACCAGAACAGTGTGCACACAGAGCCCCAGTGACACAGACAGACAATCCCCTACAGCCTCCAGTGCTCTCATGCATCTGTTATTTCCTAAGAAAAGCATCTGCAAGATATTTCACCCATTCTCTTCCTGTTTGAGAAGTTTCATATTTCCAGAACATTACTATAACCTTGGGTATCAACAAACAACCCAAAATGAAAACATTTGCTGACAGTGTGTGAAAAGAATTCTTATCAGACTTCATTTTCCTTCCTTCCTTTGCCCTGCCGGATGGGGGCCCGCTTACACTCCCACATGATGCACACTCCATTCTCCAGCAGGCTGAAGACACCATATCAGTAATTCAACATTCCAGTGCAGTCATGCTGCTCTTGGCTTTGCTGTGCTAAGTGCTTCTGACAAGGAAGACACTGAAACCCACCACCAAAACAAACAAATTGGTGCCCATGCAGAAACATAAGGAATCATTACGGGGTTGACCCTAAACATTGGACCCTGAAAACATTAGGGTTTTTTAATCTGTTTCCAGGCAGTTTTCCCACACAATTATTACACCCCCACAAGTTCTAAAGGATTAAACAACTTCTCACCCTAACTATCTACTGCCAGAGAGCAAGCCCAGTTTTTTTCACACTTTTATTGACCTGCTCCAGGTTTGCTGGATGCAGCAATTATGATTGTCTCTATTCTCATCCAGCTTCCCTGCATCCCTCCCACATGTCTGCAATCACTGCTTTCATATCACATAAATATTTGACCAAACTCATTGAAATAAGTTATAGCTGTTCAGGCAGGATTTCTGAACACGAAATGTGACAGCTCTCAGTAGATGGACTGAACAATGCTGCCAAATGTCTTCTACTCTGGAAGCTGCTCAAAACAAATGACAAGAAGTCACATCAGGAGTCTGAGCTAGTGAAGTTGCCACGTGTCCCATCTAGCAACAGCTGGATGCTGTAGTTCCTGCAACACACCCTCCCCTCCCTGCAGCTGAAGATCAACACCACACCTTTACTCCATGGACCTTCCTGGAACAAGGGCTGTGCTCCATTCCAGCCTGTCAGAGGTGCCCATGAACAGCACACTGCGTGGCAAGCATGGCCCCACCTTCACCCCAGAGGCTGTGCCTGTGCCCCGAGCTCTGGGGCTCCCTGAACTCGCCAGCTCCGGGCCACCAGCGCCCGGACTGCAGGAGCCCAGCACAGGGCACTGGGGGAGTCACGCTCGGCATTGGCACCCCGGCAAACTCCTTCACCAAACAAGGTTTTGTTGTCTCCTTGTACCCAAGCCAGAAGAGCCCAGCTGCTGCTCGGAGCCCTGTCCCTGCAGCAGCCTCACCTCTGGGTGCCCAGCGCCTTGATCACCGTGGAGAGGAGGCGCCCGTCCTTGGCCGTGACCTGGGTGATGTACTGCGGGCGCCCGAGGTCCGACTCCTCCACCGACTTGGAGAGGGCAGCGCTTCCCGGACAGTCGCACAGGGAGCCAGGGAGGTGGCAGCAGTCCCCTGTCGTCATGGCAGCTCTGGGCCCCTCTGTCCCGGGCCCGGCACCCGGGAGACCTGCAGGAACAGCACCACAGTCAGAACGCAGAACCCTGGAACCCCCAACCCCTCAGGATCCTCCAGCCCCACTCGCGCTAGGAGCACCCCAGGGCCCCACACACGCGTTTTGTGAGTCTTCTGTCCCCTTTAGTAGGCTTTGTGAGGCTGCCTTACCATAAAATTAAGGCTCCAAGTGTTCTACTTACATAACTTACCATCAGAATTGCAAATCTGCCTTGCCCAGAGAGAATTCCTGGTAACCATCCTTTAACCTGACGAAGCCTTTCAAATTGAATGTGCTGATACAGAGATGGGGAAGGCAACCAGAAGCCCCATGGGCCTGTGCTGTTTTGGCTAGAGCCATTGTGAAAACTTACATTCATACTCTCTATAAATACAGCAAAGTTTCACCTGAACAGGGCACCTAAACCAGTTTATGTGGATGGGTTCAGGAGGCCCCTCTCAGCTGCCTTCAGAAGCTTTCTGAGCACTTGAAAGACTGTCCAAGCCCAAAAGGCTCTCCCATCCCATCTTAGATGTTTTTGCTCTTTATTTCATTAAAGAAATACACATGCTTCCATTTCTGTATCTGCTGTGGTACATCCCAACAGTGAATGTGTGGATATCAACAACCCAAAAGCACAAAAAATCCTCCTTGGGAAGGGCAGCAGGCCAGCCTGACTCCTTTCCCTTTCAACTGTTCAGACCAATCATGACTTTTACAAGAGCCACTTGCAAACAGCAAAGCACACCAGCACGTTTTCAACATTCACCCAGCAAAGAGAAGACACAGAACAAACAGCAAATGCAAGAAATGGAGAGAAGACATACAACAAGGCAAACCAGGAGCTGGCTCTGATGAGGAGAACTCCCTGCCTTTGAGGTAAGGCAGCAGCAGCAGCTCACCCAAGCTGCCAGAAACAGCCATGCTCCTCCCTGGTAGGGGATATCTCATCCCCAAAATTGGGTATGCTCTGCAGATTTAGAAAAACCCTGTTTTTGCCAATTGCCTTTAACCTGGTCCCTGAGAGGCAGCTGTGCAGAAATAAAGAGCTGAGGTTACAGTGAGTCACACTGAACACAATCCAACAACATTGTACTGCTGGTAAAACCAAAATCCCTGTGTCTGTAAACAGGACTGCCTTATGTAAGGCACGCACAGTAATCCCTGTGCGCCAGCACTGCTGGGATCAGAGCTGGAATGCTGCCTCATCCTGGTGGCTGGATTTCAAGATGAAATAAATCCACAAAAGAAGTTCAAATGAAAGCAATAAAAAGGAAAAAAGGGGAGGAATAAAAGGAAATAGAACAACCACAACCCCAAATAAGATATATGAAATCAAATTAGGTTTGTTAAATTCTGGGGGAGTGGGGGGAATTGGCAATCTTTGCCTCCTGGAGGTAGAAGCAGGCAATTCACCATCCCATCCAAGGAAAGGTTTTTGTTTTGAGATCTCTGAGCACAACAGGAGTCAAACATTCTCATGAAACTGCAGTTCTGTCAGGTTCAACTAAGCCAAAATCTAACAAAAATAACTAAAGAAAATAAGGGCTTGTTCCTGGTTGGAGGCTTGGCCACACTACAGAGGAAAAAAATCAAAAAAGCCAGTATAAGAACATGATCCTTGAAGCCCTGAAAACACTGATTTGGGTAAGCACAAGTGCTTTTCATGTCTTGGAAATTAAGCAACTCGCACAACCAAGGGCTTCATCTGTCAGGAGAGCTTCCTTCATGTACATGCGTTCAAGAGGGAGAGAGCCTTTCACTGGTGCCTCAGAACCAGATGCCAACTTTGAAAGCATTCCCTCACTTTACAGAATAGTTTCTAATTTCTAATAGAAGACTTTCTAATCTCTTTTTCAGAGCTGCTCTTGATAACTATCTGTTACCCTTCCTTCGCATCTGAGCAGGAATAAGCTTGAGCTTGTGGGCAGGTCAATCCTCTTCAACATGAATGTGAATCTTTTCATCGACTTAAAAATTAACTTGATAGACTCAGCCTCTTTCTCCACCTGTGCAAAGAACACACAGAGTTAGAGCTACTTTTCTCATTTCTCCTCCTCAAAAATAAGGCTACAAACTCTCCAACTGCAAGGAGCAAAAAGTAAGATGATAAACGCTATTGGAATTACTTAAGTCAGCTATTCTGCAAGTGAAGGAGTCCTTGAAAATTAACAACCTCTTACTGAAACAAGCATGAGAAGATATATGCTTTTAATAAAAAGGTCAGTTCCATTTGTTTGGCCAAAATGTTGTTTATTTTAAAGTTCAGAGGAAAAAGTCCATTCTGCATACTGGAATAAAACTGCCCTCACTGACTGTGTCCTGGGAGTATTTATACTGAGGCTCTTTGTGCTCCACATCTGACAGACACAGGCAGCCCCATGGCCTTGCCCCAGGGCCCTGCTGGGGCTGAAAGGGAATGGCCACCCTGCTGTTCTTCAGGAAATGCACAGGTTTCTGTTACGAGTTATTTGGTGTTTCCTTGTCAGGTCCAGCCCAGGGTGGAGCCTGAAGTCACTGCTTTAATATCTGACTCATACCATTCAGCAAATACGAAGGAAAAGCAGCACGGTTTTCATGGTTAGTAAAGAAGTAATTGAAATCCAAAAACAACATCTGCAGTGCACTCGGGTCCCAGTCCCATACCCAGTGGAACATGAACCATGGTGTACAGCCAAGCCAGTCCCTTTCCTGATCCCTGACGGATCAGCTCATCAACACACAGCCTTCTCTCACAATTGTCAACAGCTCATCCAACCCAAACCCAGTGTTCACAGAATCATTCAGGTTGGAAACAGCCTGAACTAGAAATCATCTAGTCCAACTGCTCTCCCAGCACTGCCAAGCCCACCACAAACCCACGTCCCCAAGTGCCACATCCACAGTTCTTAAATCCCTGCACAGATGGTGACTCCACCACTGCCCTGGGCAGCCTGTGCCAGTGCCTGACCACCTGTTACATGAAGGAATTTTTTCAGCCTAAACCTCCCCAGTACGATTTGAGGTTGTTTCCTCTCTTCCTGTCACTCACTTCCTGGGAGAAATGACTGACCCCACCTGGCTGAACTCTCCTTTCAGGGAGGTTTAGTGAGCAAGAAGGTCGCCCTTGAACTTCCTTTTCTGAACAGCCAGCTCCCTCAGCCACTCATCATCAGATTTGTGCTCCAGCCCCTTCCCCAGCTCTGTTTACAGCACAAGCATCAAAATCCCAGTGTGAGGAACAAGACCCAAACAGCTGGTTTGAACCACACAGTTTGTTTTTTTTCTAAGCACCTGTGTTTTCTGAGCCCATTCCTTGGGGATACATTTCTTATACACATTTTTTTTAAAAGTCTCAGAGACACTACGTTTATTATAAATGTCCCCTCTGCTGCCATAGTTAAACATTAGCAAATAAATGGGAAGGCTCTTCTCAGCAACATTTTGCATCCTCAGCTTCTGAGCAAATCCAGAACATAAAGGGCTGAATTTGTAGATAATTACTCAAACTGAAAAAAAACCAAACCCTGTCTGTGGAAAGCTGTCACAGAAGAGTGAATTCTGCACTAGAATTCCAAAACCCTAACACGTGCAGCAAGCTGTGCCAGTTCCTTGAAGAGCAGCTTGTGCTCTGTCACTGCTCCAAGGCAGAGACCAGGCTGCTGGTGCAGGATCCTGCTCCGCAGCTTAAGTGAAACACCCTTGCAAGATACTCTCCCTTGTCAGTCCTCATGCACTGCAATGAGATGTGTAATCCAGTCTATATCATCCAAAGAGCAATGAAGTGGGCAAAACCCCCTCAAAAGACTGCAGAGATCAGGTTGGACCAGTGCTCTCCATGCAGGAGATGTGCCCAGCAGAAGTAAGCAGGAGTCAAGGAGCTAAAAGGTCCCCCAGCTCTACTCTCTGTATTTGGACTTTGAAGATGGATGAAACAGTTATTTCTCCTAGACAGGAAAACCACAGCATGCCAGATGAACATCTGGATCAAAGCCACAAAGAGAAAAGCACAGTCAAGATAAGAATGACAACAGGAAAGGCTTCAGCCAAATGATGGCAGTAATGGGGACTGTCAGGCACAGGTTGTGGCTCTGCCATGCTGCTCGTGGCCTGTCCTCTAATGAATATCCCAACCAGCCTAAAGCCTTGGAGCAATCCTGTGGCTTTGCTAGGATCCAGAGCAAACTGGAACCAGAGCCAGCTCCACCTGCTTTGGGTGCAGCATGTACCCACCAGCTCCTGAACAGACTGGCTTCCCTGGGACATCTGCACCAAAGAACACCCAACACGTGAGGCTGCCAGCGGCCAGCTCTGTCCCTCTCACTGAGCAAACCATTTCCCTGATTACTGGAACCGAGACCTGGCCCCTCACCCATGGTATCCCAGAGATAACCAAGTCCTGTAGCCAACATAACCCACCCATCTGTATACAAGCACTTTTTTTTTTTTAGCAGGTAACCCATTCACTGAGGGCAAATCAGAGCTCTGACCCCTGCTCACGTGAGCTGACGTTTAAGCCCGGGTGCAAAGCCTACCAGCCTGCTTTCCAAAGCCCTTTTAGGCACTTTGGGCACACAGACACTGAGTTTTCTAATCATATGATCCTGCAAATGTCACCAGTGAACTGAAGGTTTTCAGTTGCTAAAGGGCATTTCCTAACATCAGTGCTTTCCTTTTCACCACTAAACTGGATTTCCCAAATCCTGAGCCCTACAACCATCTGAACATCTCTCTCCATCTCGAGGGAGACCACACAAAGAATTGCTTGCTGCACACATCTAAGCACCTGCTCTCACACACCCCATCTCATACAGCTAATGCACATCTTCCCACAGCCCAGGTTCAACCCCAGGTGTGCAGCACTTTCCTCCAGCACCAGTTCTGCCTACTGAAGCACCAGCATCACCAGTGTACCTGCAGCCTCTGCTCTGGGTTAGTGGCAGAGTATCCCCTTCTCCACATCTGGCCTCTACAGCCTCACACCAAGTGATCACACACCTAAGACACTGCCACCAGAGATACACACAGATGGGATGAGTAGCCTGAAGTGCTCCCTGATACTGTTAGAAGGTTGTATAAGTGGATTAATCTAAAGAAAAACAAAAGCAAACAAACAACAACAACAAAAAAACCCCAAAAACAAACAAAAAAAAAGAAACAAACAAACAAAAAAAAACACCAAAAAACAAACCCCCACCCTCCGCAAGAACCAGTCCCACACTGGCCTTTGTTTTCAGTTTTGTTTGTTTAAATACACAATTTTATACATAACTGACTCCCCAAAGTTACCCTGCGTGTCTATGCTATGTAACACCTTAAAAGTACCTAAAAAGCCAGCTCAGAAGCTGCCTCCAGTTGACCCATCAGCAATTCTTCCAATCGCTCAGGGCCTGGGAAAAAATCTCTTTCATCCTGTGCTCACAAGTCACCTGAATACAACAGCCCTGAAGTCAGGGTGCAAGGAGCCCTGTCCAGAGAGAAAAGTGACACAGCATTTTATGGCATATGCCTCAACATTCAATAAAAGATCTGATGCCATGCAACAGCTTCTGAAACATTTTAAAATTTGGTAAATAACACAAGGGAAAGCATTTCACTCCCCAGGAGCTTCTCTATTTCTGCCCTGCCTGCAACATTTGGTCGGCAGTTTCAATTAAAGGAGATGCTAAAACTTCAGCCATAACTTGCTCTTCAGAGGATGCCAGTGGAGCAATGCTGTGAGTCAAAGCCAGGGGACAGCCCTGACCCTGGGCTCAAAACAAATCCCAAAAAGCAAGGGAAAAAAATAACCAAAGCAGAACGTTCTGGGAGCTTGAGAACGTTCTGATAAAACTTCACACCAGGAAACTCCTCCTACATCTCTAACAGCAAAAGCTTTGGGCTGACTCCAGAGGCTCACCTGCCTCATCCCTGGGGCAGAGTTTAAAACCAAATGCTCCAAGTTTAACCTTGTAACAACCAGGAGGAGGTCAGAAGCTTAGAGCACACAGCCTTCCTGGACTCCTGTGTTTGTCACATTTGTACATGACCACAGCTGGACTTGGCTGGGCTGCCTCTCCACTATTTCAAACACACAGCTCAGCAGCAGTTAGTGGTAACTTAGGGCTTCACTCACTGGCTGCTGCTGGGGACAAAATCATAACTTCTCTACACCCAGACACTATTTAGACATATTCTAGAAGCTCTCCGAAGTCTTGATTATTTAGATTATGGCAAATGGGTTTGCAGACACAGATGAACAGATAGTCTTTCACTTCCATTTTTTCCAAGGCAACACATTGCCAGCATCTGAGTTCTATTCCCACTGGTAGCAATATACTGCAGCAAGCCTTGGTGATCAATAATTGCTGTCTTCCAAAGCCAACATCCACACACATCCCTCTTCTTCAAAACTTCATTATATTGGATCAGCATCTGCAGTAGTTTCATTTCATCTCCATGTCTTGACGCAATGGAAAACTATTGCCTGGCAAAAATGAAGCTCCTGAGGCACAGCTCCTGTGGGTCTTGGTGGGGCTCCCAGCAGGTAGAACCCCAACTTTTAAACAAGGCCAAAGGCACGGGTCTCATGTGGACACAGCAGAACTGCAAAACAGCAGAGCTCCCTTCATTCCAGGGTACCTGTCATGTCACTCACCCACTGTTTTTCAAACAAGTTTTCTTCATTGCCTAATAAAGTTACTCAGTATTCAAAAAGAAGCAAAAGCTTCAAGCTTAGATGTTGAGGAAACAAAAATCAGTATAAAAAGAAGAAGCCTAAAGGACGATTTTTTTCTTGCTGTGCTTGGGAACAATTAGCCTGTATGTTATAGCTGGAATGCCAAAATGAACAAAGTTATCTCAGCTCTTTTGAGATTTGCTATCTGCCACAAG